CACCACACTATATTGTAAAATGAACTAAGAAATTGATATACCGCTTGATTCTTGATGAAATCTGCCATTGAGCTAGAAGCCAGCTTTCGAAACTGATTGCTTTGATGTTCCTTGTTTGGAATCAGCGAAGAAGCTTCATGTTACGAGCGCCAAACATGTGAGCCTAAAGAAGAGTACATTGAAGGAAACTATACATAAGCCCCATAACCCGGGTATGGAAGGGGGCGGAGTGCTTGCGTTTTCTATTTGAAGATGGCGTGGCATGTGTTTTTAGCGGGATCTTTTCTTTGAGGCAATCGTCGTCTTGCCTTGTGCTGGACAAACGTGATTATAGGTATCTCAGAACGGCAGTACACTACCAAAAGCGCAACCGTCATCACGTTCCAATGAACTGCACAGTCCCGCCCTGCCCTCCCCATCGCCGAGATATAGGGGTATAGGCATTGTCACCGCACCAATGGTCTTTACTGACTCACTCGTCCACTAATTATCTCTTTGAGTACTTCTTTTTCTTCCGCTTTCGTAGTAGTCTTGAGCTCGGACGGTCTAATGGCATTCGTCTGAGTCGGATGAATGTTATCCGATAAAGCTGATGAGCTGGCAGACCCAATTCGTCCCGACAGACCGGCTCTAGATATAAAAAATTATAGACAAGTGTTCATAAGTCAATTCGTATTAGTATTCATATATCAATATTTTCTTTACAGGGTACTGAGAAGAAGCTTTATTCCTACCGAGGGTTGCAGTACAATCCGTTGTTGACTTTTTTGGGTGGTGGCATTGAAGTGACGCTGTTAAATGTCCCTGAATTGGATAACTAGATTATTCTCTAGCAAAAGTTTATTATAGGCATTGTGGGCGAAATAAAGGGAAGGACTTGAAAGAATCAAGCGCAGATTGTATAGCATAGTTGGGGTCAGGCGTAACCCGGTTTCCTTCTTGTTAAGCACAAGGAAATGGTGTGCTACTTAAAAGTTGACGAAAAAAGTGGCAAAAAACACGTTACCGACGAGAAGCCTGTACTGTATACTGTCCATACTGTTCAGTGACGTCGGAGACACGTTACCTATCTCTGAACAGGTAACGTCCTGACCCGCCTACACTCACTTCTCCTGCCAACGAAAGGACGTGAAGGGGCGTGGACTGAAGTGGACGACCAATGCAGCCTTTTCAACCGATTGCTGTGGGTTGAGGACATCGCTATTGGTGGAAAAGTTCGCTCTTGCTGTGGTCTGAATCACGCCCTCTACGGCTTCTCATCTGAAGGGATAGTGACTGCACCTGATCAGAGATATTCTATATCATCCCCACGATTCTAGACGACAAGAAATAAACTGTGACAAGTGTTTCCCCAGATGCGTCCCACGCATTAATAAGAGAGAGTTATCCATGTTTCATTGGAGAGGAAGAACATTAAACCCAGCAGGAAGAATCTCATGAATCTGCGTAAAAAGCCAATGGCAGCGCCGAACAAGTGAAAAGCGAGGGAAGAATTTTACCTCGATTGGTCGCCAGTTTCCGTGCTTCCTTCATAACGTGATGAACGCAGTAATCCGACATAGAAACATTGAACAAAGTTACTGCATTTCTGTCCGTCGAATTTGACGCCCTAAAAAGAGCTACTGGAGCATGAGCTCCTCGAAGAAACTGTGCTGTTCGAGGCGACTGGATAGAATTTTATTCAGCCTGAGGTCTCGACCTCACCGTCTTCTTTGGAAGGCAAGGATTCCATTGTGGTACAAAGCATTCGCTGACGCACTGCGTAATTTCTGCTAAAATGAGATCTCCGGCCTCTGAGGAAGACAAAAAGGACGAGACACTGAGGTCAAACAACGTTTCCATCCAACAGCCTCGTTTGGCAGAAATGAAGAAGAAAACAAGTCGGTATCACATCCATGTTTCAGCTGAAAACTACACGAAAACTTTGCAAGACGTCTTCCGACATAGCTTACCTTACACGTACCCAGATCACTTGAGTAACCGAGCTCGACAACTTGTGCAGCCTTTGAAAACCTTTAGAGTGACGTGCGTTGCTGAAAGCTTCTAAAATCTACCAAGAAAACCAGTAGTATTGTAATGCAGCAAACCTTTTGGCTTGAATCTGTCCAGATTAGTGTTCTTGTCACCGTCAGCAAACATTGGTGTCATCAACGCAACACATATCCCAGCTTGCAACTTCCAGTACTCTTTATACGCCTCACCAAAAAGCAGCAAAACAACAGGCGCTTGTTGACAGTCCTAAACATATAAGATTAGAGCATGGTAATGGTTATACTTGGCACCGTTTCTATGGAACAATGGAAAGGGGTCCTGCCAAGCCCTTAAAGGGGTGCGCCGCGCACTCGACTAACATTTGGCGCTATGGTTTTGGTCTTCAATATACAAAACCGCCTGATCTACAAGAACACACTCATCCCAACAGCAACCAGTTTGGTACCAACTCCATTTCGAAGATTTTAGTGAACCTATACATAGTAGGCCGCCACGGAGGAATCACTGAAGGGTAGATCACTTCTGCACTACGAAGCGATGTAGCCGCTGATGTAGCGTAGACCATACTGCAAAAATCGAATGAACGCGACGTAGATGAATGGAAGGAGTCTCCTTTAAAATCTATGCTGCTGGCACTATGCCCAAGGATAAGGTCTACAGGGCATTGTAAGGCTCACGACGTTTAACGGCAGCGAACGGTGGCTCCGAGACGACAAACTATGAAAGCGGCTACAATGAAGCGATGTGGCTTGCATATACACTTTACTGCATAGTCAGAAATGAGACGATGTCAAAGTAATCTTACAGGTGGCCCCTGCTGCTAAACTGAAGGTACGAGAGCGGTGACCGGTGTGGCTACGAACTGAGAAGGCTATAGCCTGACGGGTGGCTTGTTGCAAGTCCAGCGCTTTTCCTAACGGGGTGGCCCGATAATAGAAGGGCTGGAAGCCCCGGGCAAACAGATGCGACAACCCCAAGCGAAAGCCGAGAAGACGTCATCAAGGAATCACTTAAGCAAAGACCACGTTGCGAAGTGCCTTGGACGGGAGAAAAAGGCGACCTCTAGCAAAAAAAGCGGTCTCGCGGCGGCCCGAGAATGAGAGAAGAGTCAGCCTGATATCAACTAATCAACTAACTGTCCCCAGTAAGATGGAAGTTGTGGTTAGTCTAGTCGAGAACTTTACATGAATTTCATCACTAATCACACTGGAAGCGCCACCTAGGTACTGCTCCTCATCCGCCAGAACTTTAAAGTTTTTGAAATTGAGTTTTCATTCACCTTCAGATCGTGGAGCTTCCATATAAGGTAGTCTTTTCCGTTAGCACTTTTCCTGACTTCACGACTAACAACAACTCCAGCAGTCGTCCAGCTATCAGCTGAAATTTCATCTTGAAACTATCTTCGCGACAGTTTGTGTAGACCTTTTTCCCCGGCGATAGGCACTGATATCTTTTGGAATAACATCACATGTTTCTGTGGATCAGCGAAAAACCGGCCCTACGCCACTATTTGTAGTCTCCTTTCAAACCGAAGAAAATGTGGCCGCTACTGAACTGAGGAGAAGCACAGAGCGAGAACTGATTTGACCCTTTTTATTCGTCTATGCTTTTTTAAGCCTACTCTCTCAGAGGAAGGATTTTCCGCCTCAGTGGGATGGCGCTAACATGCGTGCTAATCGCGCCGCCACTCTCCTCTCCTCCTCCTCTTCCTCCCCCCTTCCCCCACAAGCTTCACTAGCACCAATGCTGACCTGAAATTACAGAGTTTTGCTTGAGATCAGAGATACGAAAGCGTTTGTAACCATCTATATAGGTATCGAACGTAGAAGACGAAATTTTCGGGTTTCTGAAAAAAGTCGATCACAGTGAAGTACTATGGAAAGGAAACAAAACGGAGGTACCTGATGTTCAGCCGGAAAAAGCTATCGAAAAGGGTTGGTGCTACGACTTCCTTCTTTTGAATGCCTGACAACACCGTTTCCTTGAGTTTCTTCTTCACTATCTGGAAAAACTGGAGTGATGAAAACAGGAAATAGTCTTTTCGCGATTGAAAAGGGCTGAGTGCGCTCATGCTACGAGATTCGATCGCGGGATCCAACTGCACGCGCGAGTCAAGCGATCGGATTGCGAAAAGGGAACGTGCTCCAAATTAGAAAGTTACCGGAGTGGGTGAGACGAGCCGTCTTGGGCGTTCTTGTTCCTGCTTGTTGAGCTGCTTTTGTAGTTGCTTTCCTGGCTCACTCAGATCTCTTCAAATAGTTTCTGTTAACTTTATCCACCTAAGATAAGCAAAACTGTAAATGACATACTTTTTGTGGTCCATCATTTCATCATCACTGCTATCTGAATCAAGGGCCATTGCCCGTTTCGAGGTGGATGGTTCATCCTTGGACGGAGCAGGATTGAAATCCAAGTCCACAAGTTTTGGACCTACATTGAAGATTTGACATGTGCGATAGAAAAAAACGCCAGCACTATGG